TCGAGTGTCTGCTGCAAATGTAACTGCGGCAACCACCATTATCTAGGAGGGGTCTGTTCGAGTGTCTATGTTCATGTTTGCCGTTGAGTATATAAGGTGTAATTTGTATTTTTTTGAATGTGTACTTCATTGTTTATAATGTGGTAATTATTTTGGACCGTGACAAATCACCCTGGTTGCTGCAGATAGGATGAGCAATGTTGGCTGTATGGTGAAACATTCCTTGCCGAGCCTACGGCAGATTGCCCAAGCAATGAACCAAGTCACTAGAAACAAGCCTCCTGTTTTGCTTGCCGAACCTGCGATGCAATCCTGCGGGAATCCCTACGTGCAATCCCCAAACATTCCTCAGAGGCTGATGATTCATCATGATAGACCTCGAACATTGTTGCCCCGCGACTACTTTCAGCAATGTTTTGTCAAACGTAGGACAATGTTTGGGCGATTTATTTTTTGCAGAGTTATTGTCGACGGCTACGGATCTCAGCTGAGCCTGCACCCATATAAACGGTGGAGAACGGTGGTAAACGATATGGTTAATGATTTGCGAGGAGGACCGCATGCGAAGGAGCTTTGCAGCGTGAGAACGAAGGCACACACAGGATGCAGCGAAACGTGCGACAAGTGAGATCACGACCTAAAGACGCGAGTGAATGGAGCGGAAAATATAAGAGGGAGCCGAAGAGAAAACGACGAAGCAGATGTTAGAACCGGGGAGAATCGGGCGACTTAGAGAACTCTTATATTTACCTGCGATTCGTAGCCGCGCGCTGGCAGCGCGCTGATGAAATCTTGAACGAGAGCCACGTCAGCAGCGTCCCAAGTGCCTTGAAAAACGACGTGCACGGGCGTGAGTGGAACCTCGGCCGACAGGCCTCTTCTCAATCTCGAAAAGTGGACGTGGGTGGGAATGCCGCCGCTTTCGCCGCCGCGTGACGCGGCGTCGTAGACCGAGGATGCCAACCCGCGGGAATGGACGGTCGGGATGAGCGCGACGATAATCGGAGGGCGATGGAGAGGAGAACGAGGACCGCGCGCATGTTGATCGGTAATCGGGGAGTCATGACGTCTGCTTGGCTGGTATATTTTGTCCGCCCGGCCTTACAATGCGTCACGGCTTTTGACGCTGCTTCACTGTAACAGGTTGGGGATCCGCCATGCGATATGCATGGGAATCTCCGAAAGAGAATGATGACGTTGCCTAGCTAGCTCCAAACAGGAACACTTGCTAGCATAGGACAGTTTCCCCTATCCCCGTCATACCTTAGAATACAGCAGGGCATGGCATCGAGACGCTATACCAAGATGCCATGCCAAAGGAGTAGCGACACGGGTTTCCTTCCGAGTCGCGCTCCTCCCTTCCTTAGCATAAATATCTCTCTAGTTCTTGTTTGTATCATCTTGGTATCTTCATCTTCTAATCCTATCCTTGGATTTACTTTCAATTCTAACTTCTTGAATCTCTTCTCAACTCTCTCGTCGACGAATCTGGAGCTAGGCTCTCGTCTAGCTTTCTCCTATTCCGCTGCGTGACAACTACTCTTTTATTTCTTCTCGCTACGGCGCAGCTCTCTACTCGCTAGGCCGGCCAGGCCAGCCGCGCCGTGCGCGGCAGCAGCGCCGTAGCCCTGTTTCACTGGTATCAGAGCCTATCGATCCTCAGTTTCCACTTTCGTACTGAGCTAGCTACTACTCCTTACCTCGACTTCTATTCGCGTGGTTAGCTAGCTTCGACGAGCCTAACCTTGGAGCAACTAGAGTACGAGGATTTGGCTGCACCAAGATGACGAGGACTCCTGCAGCCTGCTCCAAGAGCGAATTCTGCTTGGTGTTGGCGAAATCTGCTTGGTAAAGGTTTGGGAACCTGTGATTGGGCGAATTTCAGCCAACCGGAGAGTTTGGGAGCAGATTTTCGGATTTCGATGCTACCCTTCAACTGCTCAAGAAGTCTTCTACTGCTACACTTCTTCGAACTTCAATCAGATTCGTTGAATTGAGGTGAAGTTGGGTAAAAAACGTTTGTAAATTCGATTTCTTCACCTCAAATCTTTCTGCTGGAAATTTCCCACTTGGTCTTCCCCTGAATTCGTTTTTCATTCACTTGAACTCTCGAGAAGCTGATCCCTTCCAGCAAATGGTAGAAAGAAATATCTACTCTATAATCTGCTCATGGATGAAGAGGAACTATGAGCATGCTTATGATTTTCTTCTTGCATGATCTAACTTCTCACCTCTCTTCCCTTTGAAACACAAGGCCTCTGCCTAGTCCGTTGCTCTGTAACATATAAAGAGCATAAGTAACCTTATTTCACTTTATGTTTAGTGGATCCACAAGGTGCTTGACTAGATGGCTAGTGTTTCCATTTTCTGAATCTGTCCTAGGCATATTTGGCGGTATTGCTGGACGTGCTATAAGCACCAGCGTTGAGGCAGCTTAATAGGGGTTGTTGTGTACAGTGAAAGCGCCATAGCGTGAAAGCATGGGCTTGGTTGAGACTGTGCACATGAAAAAAACTTATGGAGTTTTCCACCCTATGGTTAGGAGCTGCATGTGACCGCAAGAGCTGTAGTATGGGCTGCAGCTATATGCCGAACCCCCTGGCTTCTAATCTGGATGTTCTCCTCTTTTGAAGAAAACTGAAGACCAAGTGAAGAGCAAGAGTGAAGATCAAGCATATCTTGTATATGTTTTCTGATTTGGACCTTTATGATGCTTGGATGCTTGTCATATTTTCTGATTTAGACCTTTGAGTAGTTAGATTGGATAAGCATCGAGATGATGCTTCTTGGGGAGGGGAATAATGTAACAGGTTGGGGATCCGCCATGCGATATGCATGGGAATCTCCGAAAGAGAATGATGACGTTGCCTAGCTAGCTCCAAACAGGAACACTTGCTAGCATAGGACAGTTTCCCCTATCCCCGTCATACCTTAGAATACAGCAGGGCATGGCATCGAGACGCTATGCCAAGATGCCATGCCAAAGGAGTAGCGACACGGGTTTCCTTCCGAGTCGCGCTCCTCCCTTAGCATAAATATCTCTCTAGTTCTTGTTTGTATCATCTTGGTATCTTCATCTTCTAATCCTATCCTTGGATTTACTTTCTATTCTAACTTCTTGAATCTCTTCTCAACTCTCTCGTCGACGAATCTGGAGCTAGGCTCTCGTCTAGCTTTCTCCTATTCCGCTGCGTGACAACTCTTTTATTTCTTCTTGCTACGGCGCAGCTCTCCCTAGTCACCATGGCCGGCCAGGCCAGCCGCGCCGTGCGCGGCAGCAGCGCCGTAGCCCTGTTTCATTCACGTAGTTGAGAGGCAAAAAAAAGGTGAGCTTGACTCTAGGAATGGATCGAAAATGCAAATGAGGAAGAGAAATACGAGGCTGGGAGGACTCGCGCGGTCTCGAGCTCGTTGATGAGAGCAGGAAAGCTGAGCTCTAGAACTGTGGAGCTTGTCGATAGTTATGTTTGTCAAGCTCCACACCACAGTGGTGATTTGCAATCGTGATCGCGGGACTGAGGAATAGAAATCGAGGGACTGAGGAATTCAGGAATTGAGGGACTGAGGAATTGACGGGGCCAGAAAGGCATGGCAGCTTGGGGAACGTCCGAATTTGGAGTCATTCCGCAAATTCGAGAGCAGTGCGTCGCGGAATTGTGAGCGGGGCGCGGAAGAAAAGGTGGGACGCGGAAGAGATTCGTGTCCGGGTGAGGAACGTCGGTCTGTGGTTGGCTGCTGCTGGCACAGGAAGGGAACATTCAGACCTTGAATGAACACCACGGCGCGGTTTGACGAATATAAGTGCTTCCTGTGTTACATTCGGGTCTCATCAACCAGTAACATTCTGTCCAGAAACGGTTCTGTTGAATGGTGGTGAGATATGTGAGGTCGAGTGGTCCCGGCGGAATTTTTATAGCGATTTCCTTAGGGCGATCGTGATTGGCCGGCGAGGGGTATTCGTCAATGCGGCTTTTCCGCTTGCCTGGAAGGATGGCAAACCTTGGCTGGGAGAATCGGGGGAGTTTCATGCGTTGAGGACAAGTGCAGCTGTTCGGCCGACTCGGTTGGGCGAACTGGCGATGGCCTCTCAGCAGCTTGCTTGCTTCCTTGAGACTAAGCACGACAGCTGTAACCGTGGTTACAGGCTTGGACGAAATTCAACAATTTTCACGTGCCCGTTACTGCTTCAGAAATGCTGAAGGTGGCAGGCGGAACTACGAGAATCAGTAGTTCTGCCCGCGAATAAAGCTGGCACCCCTTGTTGACAGCCTTTCGGGCTTGGCGCAAAGAATTTCATCATTTATCTGCCCAGGCCCGAAGTTGGCACCAGCCCTTTGTTCTGCTGTAGGCCGATGGGTTTGGTTCGGCAACATGCACAAACCACTGGGAGCATCACGCACAATTATTGTTGTAAGGAGGCTGACGTGGTCTATGGAATGGCTTGTGCATGTCAACAGAGCTGAATGCTGGTTTACAATGAGAAGCTCTCCAAGTGAGTTAAGTTATATGTTGCAAGACTGAATTACATCTTTAGTGTTGATGTTTTCGGTTATTCCAGCATATAGCATCAGTAAGATCACATCCAGGTCCCTCTCAAACCTCCCTTCGGGAAAATACGGTAATAAAAACCATCCGAAGAAGGCACGTAACACCACCAGCGAAGTGATCGAACAAATAGCCTTCAGAAAAATAAAATATATATTGGATGACACACAAGCTCCTTGTTTTCAGAGTGGCGGCAGCCACAGGCTTGTGAAGCTTTCCCTAAGGTCTTTCAGCGCAGTTACAAAGGAAAACAAGCTCTAAGAACTAAAGAACTCAACGGTTGGTTGGTATTGACGCTAGTTACTTCAGCGCCAAACCACCTCGCCTTATTTTCTCCTCCCCTTCCTCTTTTCCAACGCATCTGCTCCCTCGGCAAGTATATACAGAGCAGAGTGGTGTGGTGTACATTGTAACAGCTGTAACACCTTCACAGAGTGCTCCCAGTGTCTCCTTTTTTACTTGGCCCGGCCAGCCATGGACCCCACAGATGCAGCTGCGCATGTGGGCATGCCGTCCGCCTGTGCACCTGAAGAAACGCCTGAAGAGTTGCCTCCGTTTGTAATAACATGGATGAAGGTCTCTGTTGGGAAAGCGGCACACATCTTGGCGGTTGCAGTGGAGCCAGCAGTGACATTCCCCTTCACTTCCTTCTGCTCCGCTGCCGAACCAGAAGCAGATGGCTTGGGAACCGTGGCGGGAAGAGAAGTCTCAGCTTGGGGGAACTGGGAAGCGGTAATGGGCGCGGCATCAGGTCCGGGAAGAGCCTCGGTGATTGCCGAGCCAAGGTGTCGAAGCAGATGGCGGATGGGACTAGGCGCACTGCAGGTGACAGAAACGGGAGCAAAGAAGGGAGGTCAGAACATGTGTAAGGCAAATTGACAAAATTGAGAAAAATGAAGTTGTTGAGCAGGTGGAGGTTACGGGGCAGCACAAGAGGGCGAGGCGGCAGAAAGGGTGGAAGAAGGGCAGGCGGACAGGGCGATACAGGAATGTATTTTCGTCAAGTTCCCAAGAGGTGCAGGGGGCTTCGCGACGGACATACCTTCCTCGGGCTCCGCGGAAGGTGCAGCGGTCGGGGCAGCGCGCAGCCACGTCACCCGCGTGGATGAATGTGGCTTTCCCGAACGACCCGTCGGCTCCATGGAGTTCAAGTGATGACTGCTTGCTGCAGTAGTCTTCGCAAAAGGTTTCGCCGCCGATGGTTACTGCGACGTCGCCGCTGGTAACCAGCAGGTAGAGCGCGGCCGCGCGGTCGAATGGAAGCGCGCCGATGTCGATTTGGTGCTGGATGGCTGAGAGACAGCGAACGAAGAGGAGCGGGAGTCAGGAAAATGGGAAGTAAAGGTTAGTATCAAGGAATGGAATATCGGAAGTCGCGACATTGGCACACTGAAGAGGTTACATTGTTACCTTCGACTGCGGTGTCGCCATAGTGGTTGTTATCAATGGCTACGGATCCCAGCTGAGCCTGCACGCAAAAACGGTTGAGAACGGTGGAAAACAGTAACGTTAGTCATTTGCGGGAAAACGCATGCGAAGAAACTGTTACGGTGCGAAAGATGACACCCAAGGATGTGAGACGTACGATAAGTGAGATCATGCGTGAATGACACCAAGTGAAAGGAGGAAGGCGGTGCCGCAGGAGCTAGTATCGCGGATACTTGGGCGACTTTAGGAGTTTAGTACCTGCGATTCGTAGCCTTGCGCTGGCAGCGCGCTGATGAACTCTTTCACGAGAGCCACGTCAGCAGCGTCCCAGGTGCCGTGGAAAACGACGTGGAGGGGCGTGCGTGGAGTCTCGCCGCCTCCTGAAGCGGTGCCGTAGACCGTGGATGAGAACTCGCGGGACTGGACGCCAGGAACAAGGGCAACGAGAATCGGGACGGCGATGGAGAGGAGACCGAGGAGCGCGCGCATGTTGAGCGGTGATCGGGAAGCCATTATGTATTTTCGGCTGAGTGTAGTATTATCTGCTTCGCGACGCGTCTCGGCCTTCACGCTGTTTCAAGTAGTCGAGTGCGTGGCAAAAAAGGGTTAACTTGAATATAAGAGTGGATCTGAAACAATGTGGAAGAGAGATACGAGGTCAGTAGGAGTTGTGCGAGCTCGGTGATGAAGTAAGCAGAGCTCGAGGGTCCACACACGGCGCTGGAGCTGTTTGTCGAGTCGAGCCCCAGGGTTGTGGGATCTTCAAGATGGGAAGTATGGGATCTGGGGAAAAACTTGTCCAAATATCGAGCTCATATATGATTTTGAACGTTGTAGGTTTGGAATGTCGGGGGGGGCGAGCGGAAGAAAATGCGGGGCGCGGAAGGCAGAGGCGTACGCGCGAGGCAACGGTGACATTTGGATAAGAACATTCTGACCTGAAACTGTTTTGAATTAGCATTACGGCGTGGTTTGACGAGTAGAAGAGCTTCATGACTCACGACTTACTGTAGTGGAGATCCTCCTGCCTTGGTTTCAGATCAGAAATTGCAATAATTCAAGCACAGCGATGGTGCAATAATTCAAGTGGTCCCGGCGGAACTTCCGAGCGCAGAGATGAAGCTCGCAGTTCCTCCGCAGCGCCCATATGCGAGTCGCGGACATTCCTGCGAGGAGATCAAGAATCAGGAACCCTGATTGCCTGGAAGAGTGGCAAAGGGACGTGGCTTGGATAGTTGTCGAACTATCTTGTCAGCATTGGCGGGGAAGGGCAGCATTTCTTTTGACCCCAATGGCCGATTTGGCGATGTCCCACAGCTTGCCTTTTTCCTCATGTTCCACGTGTGACGAATGCAGGCATGCGTGGCACGAGAGACAGCGTGGACAGACCACAACGACTTTCACGTGCCCAAAACTGCTCGCGGAATGCTGCCTCGGACTGTACAGCTAGCCAAAATGTACTGTACTAACTTTGTACAGTACAGAACAAGCTCTGCCCAACGATGAAGCTGGCACCCCTTGCCGTTCAGGCGAAACACAAATACGTAAATGATTGTTAATCAACTATGAGGCTAGGGTTACTGCATACAATCGCGTTAAGAGGTTATCTGAATAACGTTCATCTGCCCAGCCCCCTTTACCTCTCGCCACTCGCCATGCCAATGTTGGTTCATGCGCAACAATCAACAGAAATGGGTTGTGGACTTCTTCAGTTACAGCGAGGATCTTCAGTACAGCGAACTGCTATAAAGCTTCTGATAAGAACGGAGAAGCAAACCTCTGATAAGAACTTATATTTGTTATGTAGATATTAAATATTTTGAGACAGGATCGGTTGTGCTCTTTCAACACATTATTATGAGGCATCTGTAAAGATGGGTGTAAAATCACATAAACGACTTAATAAACGTACGGTACGAGGGGGGTCCACTATAAGGGTGAATGGTGGAAATGAGAGTTATATATTACAACAAGGATCTTGTGTTTGTTGGCTGGAATGTCATGGCACTGTAAGTCTTACTAACTACTAATTAGTAGACATAAGGAATGAGCTTCTTCACACGGGCACTGTATTCTACATATGGTCGTCCAAATCTAACCCTAAGCCACTTCTCCTCAACGCTAGCCTTCCTGTCTAGGAATATGGCAAGAAAACAAGTGTACAGCAACCTCTCTCCGCTACATGTTGCGAGAGTCACCCCCAATGCGAAGAATATAGCTCCTGCATATATCGGATGACGTACAATCGAGTACAAGCCTCCTGTCTTCAGAGTGGCGGCAGCTGCAGGTTTGGGAAAAGGTGTCAAGCTTTCTCCAAGGTCTTTCAGAGCAGATACGAAGAAAACACAGGAGCTCATAGCGAGAAGAACGCCAGTAACGGGGATAAAGTCGAAGGAGAAACTCGTCACGGACGAGCAGACGGAGGCGCGAAGGAAGGTGGGAAGGAGTGACGGAGGGGGGTAGAGAACGAGGATGAACGGGATGAGCTGAAATACTGCCCACCACTCGCCGCGTGTCCCCCATTTCCCGTCGTTCATGTTCCTCCATACCTGCGTGCTCTGCATCTGCCCCTTCGCATCCTTAGACCGCGAAGCGTCACCGCCGTCTGTTTTCGCCATGCCTTCCGTTTCCGAGGGTCAGCACTCCTGACGCGCGAAGTACAGGAAGGGTGAATCAGTCGCGCGACGTGCGGGATCCGGGACGACGGCGTCAGTGTGGACGATGACGATAAAAATATTCGTGTCATTGAACTCTATGGCATTAGGCTGGTGCTTGTCATAGCGAGCCAGGCTAGGAGTATCAATCATGCCATCTGTGGTATGTGGAGGGGAATGGGATTGCTGGAAGTATCTCGCGAAACAACCTGTAATCCGTTACAACACAACGCGTTATAGATTGTGAATACGACTAAGTACGACTCCATACTTCGTAAATAGAAGTGAACATTCACGAACGTGCCGTAACTTGTCGCTGTGCGATGAGAATTTCGCGAATACCGTTGGTGGGGTGGCGCTCATGTGAGAGGAACCACGGATTTGTGTAAGTGTCATGTAACCGGAAATATATGTTTGTCTGGCAAAGTGTCCCAAGTCAGCTGTTTTCGATGTCCCCGTATCAGTTGAAAAAATCAGGGGACGCTTTTATTATGGGAATATTTTGTAGTTCTCTAGCTGTTCTGTTCCAGTTCAGCGAATTTGGGACGTCCATGGAGCTTCATAAACATTTTTTTAGCGCCTCCAATCCCCACCCATTCCCGTCCCCCGCCCTCCAACTCAGCCGATGTGATTTTTTGGCGTGATTGGCTGAGGAGGGGAAACTCCAGGAGTTCTCTCATGTCTGCCTGAACGCGTAGCCATACTCTCAGGAGTACGGAGTCCCTTCATCAGGAGCTTTTCCTGACAGAACTGCTGCAACAGACAGAACCTCTTCGCACAAGGCGGGAGGAATCACGAATTGCGATAGGCTCGTAGGGGCGGCAAAAGTGTTCCAAGGTGTGAGTATTCTCCTGGCGCTTCGCCTGGCCAGCCAAGGCGCGGGTTTGTCAGGCAGGCAGTCTTCTGACCGAGGGCCTTGGTTTGGATATAAGCCACAACCCTGGAACTGATAGGTACCGGAAAATCCAGGAACAGCATTTGTCATTTCCCTCGACTCCTCCTAAACCAAACTCTAATACCACCTGAAGAAGCTCCTCCGTTTCCATCTTCTCTTTGCCACAACTGCCAACACACCATCCTTCTCGTGTTCTAGGCGCACTCGCAAGTCTCTCAAGGTTTCACGCGAACTGAAGCTTGCCCTGTGAACTCTCATCTACTCACTCGACCCGCCTAGTAACCTTCCTCTTCCTCATCGTCTCCTCCTCTCCTCCTCGGGCGTTTCTTTGGGAATCCGAATCGTCTGAAGACTGCTGTCCGTTACTGACAGATCGTCCGTAAGACTGCTGCGCCCGCAACCTCTCGACTACGACGAACCTCAAAAGCTTGGGCGAGCCGCGGTCCTTTTAAATCGCTCAAACTTACGGCCTCTCCACCAATTCTCCTCGACGTCTCAGCAACCGGCGGGCCAAACGCCAAAGCACCGACAGGAGAAGAAGCTGAAGCAGCGACAACGCTAGCAGCAGCAGGAGAAGAAGCTGCACAAGGCACAGGGCACAGCCATCCCACGCGTTTCCGTTGACTCCAGACACGCAGCTTTCAATAGTCACGCGAGAGAGTAAACTACCAGGTGCCATGGCGAGCACAACCCGCCCCTCTGTTTTTGAAGCGCCTCGAAAATCGTCGCGTCATCTAGTGCCGGTGACGCTGTCCCTCCTCCTCCTCGTGACCCTCGCGCACTTCGCGGCGCCAATTGCGGCCAACAACTGCCCTTCGTTCCGCCCAATCGGCGTCGACTGCCCTCCCGCCACGTCAGCAACATCCGCAAATCCCGCATGCAAATCGAAGGCCTATTTGGGCCGATTCGCCGTGCAGGGCTCGAAGCGCTTCCGCCTCCCCGCGCTCCCCAACGGCTTTCCGCTTCCGCCGGGCGCGCTCTCCGCGGACTGCTGCGCGGAGTGCCAGCAGCGCGCCGATTGCGCCTACTGGAACATCTTGCTCCGCACCCGCCGCTGCCTGCTCTTCGCTGCTGACGTGTGCGCCGCTGACGGGCCGGCGGTGTTTCTTCCCGGCGACGAGCACGCCTTGTAAGTCTCTCGGTCCTGAGCGGTTGAGAGAGATCCCCGTAGCTTATTCTCATGTCCTCTCCCAGCCTCCCCACCGCGGACTTCCCGGCGATATTTCTTCCCAGCGAGGCGCACGCCTTGTAATTACAGTCAGTTGAGTCCTGCGTCTCTCCCGGCGTCTCTCACCGCGTTTCGTTCCGCTTGTTTTCAATGTCCTATTCATTTCCTTGTCTCTGTCGGCGCTCCTGCTTTCTTTCTTCCCTTCCTTCCCTCGTTCCCCTCGTTCCACCCCTCCCTTCCTCCTACATCCCCTGTCTACCTCTCACGGCAATATCTTCCGGCGTCTTTTGTGCTTTGTGTGCGCTCTTACCCCGTCCTTTCCAATCTCCGAACGCCTCTTGCAGCGTCGGGACTCGGTACTGCAACGCAACGACGTCTGTAACGCGTACAGCTGCCAGCACCGCTGATACCACACAAGACGGCAGTACACCCTCCGAGAGCGCGTTCTCCTTTCTCGAAGAGGCTACTGACGAGGATGAGCAGGAGGCGGCGGAGGGGCAGGCGGAGGAGAGGGCGGAAGCGGAGGAGGAGCATGATGCGCATGTGATGGGCGTGTTCGAAGGGGACATGGCGAGAATGCAAGCGGAGGAGGTGGAAGAGTTGAATATCGTGGAAGCTGCGTCTCAGACGGAGCAGCAGCAGGAGGAGGCGTATCAAAACAACCCTGAGGCCATGGCGGCTTTAGAGCTGGAAGCGATGCAAGGCGAGGAGCAGATGGAGAAGAAACAGCCGCAGCAGCAACAGCTGCAGGAGCAGAACGAACAGCAGGAGCAGCCACATAGCGTCGAAGTCTTTGAGCTTTTTGAGCTGCAGCAGGAGAACCCTGAGCCGTTTCAGGAGAATTCTCAGGTGATGCAGCAGATTGAGGGGGAGGGCGTGGCAGTGCAGCAGGCAGGAGAGGGCTCCACCATCCAAGGCATGGAAGCCTTTGAGGAGGGCGAGGAAGAAGAGAAGGAAGAGGAGAGAGAGAAGGAAGAGGCAGCTCGGGCTGCGGCGGTGAAAGAGATGGAGGAGGAGGAGATTCCCATCCGCCTCGTGTCCTTCTCCCTTGTCGACCCCAGCTCTCAAGTCTCAAGCCAAGCTGCAGCCATGGAAGCAGAGGAGGCAGAGAGAAAAAGCGACGAGGAGGCGAAGACAGACACAGACGCCGAGCAGGCTGCCTGGAGGGACCTGGAGCAGCAGGAAATTCCGGTGCAGCTGACCTCATATGAGATGGTGGACGCTGATTCTCTTGCCGCAATCCAAGCAGCGGCAGTCGAAGAGGAAGAGGCGGAGAGGCAGACAGACGCCACTGCAGCGGCTCTGAAAGACCTGGAGGAGCAAGAAATCCCTGTGAGGCTAACCTCTTATGAGATGGTGGATGCCGGTTCGCTGGCGGACAGGCAAGCAGAAGCAATGGAGGAGGAGCAGGCAGAGAGGCAGGAGAGTGAGAGAGCAGCAGTGTTGAGACAGCTTGAGGAGCAGGAGATTCCGGTGCGGCTCAACCTGAGAGGGCACTCCGCCTTTCACATGGCGTCCTACGCTGCTTCCAGCAAGTAAGGCAGCTGGAGGAGCAGGAGATTCCTGTGCGGCTGAACTTGAGAGGGCACTCTTCCTTCCACACAGCATCTTGAGCTGCGTCTAGCAAGAAAAGCACTGTGGAAGGGTGGAACAACCTTCAGTCACCTGGTTACCATACTCTTTTTACTAGAAATTAGTGGTGGGTGTACGTGTATGATCGATACAAGCTCGAGCTTTGTGCTCTGGTTGTGGGCTGGATGGTTTATGTGTACCATGTTGTATAAAATTCTATGCATTGCAATACATTGTTAAATGACGAACCTTATCATATCCTCAGTGGAAACATCTCAAATTACCATTAAAATCATCTGTTTCTCACTTCAAATCTCACCCTAAGCTTGATGTTGCGGAAAGTGCATTCAAATGATCATTCCCTTAGTTGGTTTCCATGTGACGGTGTGACTAACCTCACATACTGTACTAGCATACGGATAGGGCACTGATAGCAACAGCAAATATCTTATCAGCTAATGATCTGGCTCTATATCGAGGACTTGCACATGCCAACCTTCATATACAACGCTTACTCAAGGCAGCAGCTATCAGTACTAAAAGAATGCACTGGCAGTGACTTCTTCCCCCAAATGCATGAACACTACTTTATGAAACACAAAACAGCTACCAGAAGGTTGCCTGGACAGCAGAGGAGAAAGGGCTGCTGTTCACATGCCACCCACACCCTGCACCACACTCTCAATGCTACACAATCACTCACTCACTCCGCCTTGGCTCAGCCTGTAATAAGCCCCCACCTCCTCCTGCTTGCTCGTCCTCGAATCCACCCCTCCTGCTTGCTCATCCTCACCCCCCCCCCCTCTCTCGCTCGCTCGCTCTTGACTTCCCCCCTCCTGCGGCTCACCCTGAGTGCACCTGAGTGCCCCACCTTATTCCATTGCCCCATACTGGCAGCTGTGCACCCAACTTCTAGCTCCACCGCTCCTCCGCCCACCCTGCTCATCTAAGCACAACCCCCACCTTTCTCTGGTGCCCTCGTAACTCCCCCACTCTCCCACTCCCCCACTCTCGCACTCCCCCACTCCCCCACTCACCCACTCCCCCACTCCCCCAACAACACCTTCCTGACTGGAGTCCCATCTCACCCACCTCATCCAACTCCTCCTCCTCTTGACCCCCAGTCCCTGCAAGCCTGCTTCCCACCCCTGTGCCTGCCTCCCTACTCCATACTCGGCCCCCCTTCCTTGCCACCAAACAACACCCTCCTGACGGGCGTCCTCATCTCACCCACCTCGTCCAACTCCTCCCCCCCCCGCCCTCGCCCCTGCAAGCTGCTCCCACCCCGGTGCCTGCCTCCCTACTCCATACTCGGCCCCCCTTCCTTGCCACCAAACAGCACCCTCCTGACGGGCGTCCTCATCTCACCCACCTCGTCCAACTCCTCCCCCCCCCGCCCTCGCCCCTGCAAGCTGCTCCCACCCCGGTGCCTGCCTCCCTACTCCATACTCGGCCCCCCTTCCTTGCCACCAAACAGCACCCTCCTGACGGGCGTCCTCATCTCACCCACCTCGTCCAACTCCTCCCCCCCCCGCCCTCGCCCCTGCAAGCTGCTCCCACCCCGGTGCCTGCCTCCCTACTCCATACTCGGCCCCCCTTCCTTGCCACCAAACAGCACCCTCCTGACGGGCGTCCTCATCTCACCCACCTCGTCCAACTCCTCCCCCCCCCGCCCTCGCCCCTGCAAGCTGCTCCCACCCCGGTGCCTGCCTTCCTACTCCGTACTCGGCCCCCCTTCCTTGCCACCAAACTGCACCCTCCTGACCGGGGTCCTCATCTCTCCCACCTCCTCCTCCTCCTCCGCCCTCGCCCCGGCCAGCTGCTTCCCACCCCATACCGGCCCCTCCTCACTCCGTACTCAGGCCCCCTTTCCTTGCGAAACAGCACCCTCCAGACCGGGGTCCTCATCTCACCCACCTCATCCAACTCCTCCTCCTCCGCCCTCGCCCCGGCCAGCTGCTTCCCACCCAATACCAACCCCTCCTCACTCCGTACTCGGCCCCCCTTCCTTGCCAAACTGCAGCCTCCTGACCGGCGTCCTCATCTCGCTGACCTCATCCAGCTCCTCCTCCTCCGCCCTCGCCCCTGCCAGCTGCTTCCAGTGCGATATCCGGCTCTTGAGCCACTGCACCTCCTTGTTCGCCACGTTCTTTGACGCTTCATTCACAATCGACCTCACCCGCATGGCATAGCTGTTTGGGAGGAGAGGGAGGAGTGGGAGGGTGCGGGGGGCAGGAAGGGAGAGAGCACATTGCTATCCTGCTAGTGAGCCACTGCACCTCCTTGTTCGCCACGTTCTTTGACGCTTCATTCACAATCGACCTCACCCGAGTGGCGTACCTGCGCTCATGCAAGGAGGGGAGGAGAGAAGGGGAGGGATGCGAGGGAGAGTGAGGAGGGTAGGGAGGGAGAGGACGAGTGTTGCTAGTATCATGCACGTAAGCTACTGCACCTCGTTCTTTGAGAGGTTACCATTAAAGAACCACAAGCTAACCATGCTTGGGTTGATGGTGAACGAGGCAACAAAGAGCCACTGCACTTGCTGAACACGCTCTTTGATGCCTCTTTCACCATCAACCCAAGCAAGGTGAGCTTGTGGTGCACCAGTGACACATCATCCCCCCTTTCCCTCCCCCCCCCCCCTCCTCCCCAACCCCCCTCTCTCCAACCCCCCCACCAGACCCCCCATCCTTACGTGAGGGAGTTGTGCGTCTCGTCCAAGTTCCCGTCCGCCGGCGAAATGTTCACAAACATGAGCGTCTTGGCGTTGCCGCCCAGCGAGTCGCTCATGAGCATCGTGAGCTTGTGGTTGCGGTACGGGATGTGCCCGCCGCCCTGCGCCAGCGCGCTGATCACGTCCCCGAGAGCAGAGAGCGACTTGTTGATGGACTGGGCTTCCCTCAGCTGCTCCCCCTCTGATTTTGACTTCTTCACCCTCTCTGATCCAGCCAGGTCCACAAAGGACAGCTGGAATGATAAGAGAGGGGGAAAGGGAAGAGAGGGAGGAGGGGAGGAGAGGTTCAGAATAGGGAGGATGGGCAGCTGATTGCGACTTCTTCACCCTCTTCGACCCCGCCAGGTCCGCAGAGGACATCTGGGGTTCGAGGGGGAGAAGGAGAAAAGTGGGAATTCTTGAAGAGTAACACAATTGGGTTATAGAGGTAACACGGGGTGGGGGGGAGGGAGGCGGTGCCAGCAAATTGGGTTACATCTTGTGCACTCCCATTCACATGCCCCAATCCTACGCACACCCACACTCTCACCTTCCCTCTGCAAACGTTCTGGGTCTGCAGGTCAGTTGTCCTATCACGATCGACAGCACCAGGTGCGATCGGGAGCTCTCAGCATTCATCTGCGTGCCCGCCACTGCCCGCCTCTCCATGCCTCCCTCTTTCACGCACACACGCACTCACACACACACACTCACTCACGCACACGTACACACTCGCACACTCAGACACACACAAGCACACTCACTCCCACCCACGCTCTCACCTTTCCGCGGCACACGTTCTGGGTCTGCAGGTCTGTCGTCTCAATCACGATCGACAGCACCAGGTGCGATCGGGAGCTCTCAGCGTTCATCTGCGTGCCCGCCACTGCGCGCCTCTCCATGACCCCCCTTTTACACGCACACACGCACTCACACACACACACTCACTCACGAACACGTACACACTCGCACACTCAAACACACACAAGCACACTCACTCCCACCCACGCTCTCACCTTTCCGCGGCACACGTTCTGCGTCTGCAGATCAGTCGTCTCGATCACGATCGACAGCACCAGGTGCGACCGAGAGCTCTCGGCGTTCATCTGCGTGCCAGCCACTGCCCGCCTCTCCATGCCCCCCTGCACCACCGCCTCCAGCTGCGACAGGTACTGCACCTCGATGAGAGTGGCGTTCTCAACCACCACCATGCCCTGGGGGAACATTGGGACATGCAATGGTGCAGAGCGGTTGTAAGCAGTGAAGAGTGGTTAAGAGCAGCACAGAACAGCCACTGCGCGCCTCTCCATGCCCCCCTGCACCACTGCCTCCAGCTGCGACAGGTACTGCACCTCGATCAGAGTGGCGTTCTCAACCACCACCATGCCCTGGGGGGACATGGGAACATGCACAGGGTACAGAGCGGTTGTAAGCGGTGAAGAGTGGTTAAGAGCAGCGCAGAACAGCCACTGCGCGCCTCTTCATGCCCCCCTGCACCACTCCCTCCAGCTGCGAGAGGTACTGCACCTCGATGAGAGTGGCGTTCTCTATTACCACCATGCCCTGGGGGGGAAGGGAAGGAATCGAGAGGGTACAGAACGGCTTAGAGCGGTGCAGAGCGGCCACTATGCGCGCCTCTCCATGCCCCCTTGCACCACCGCCTCCAGCTGCGACAGGTACTGCCCTGGGGAGGGGGAGAGAATTAAGAAGTAACACATTAAGAGGGTACTGAGCAGTTAAGTGCGGAGCAGAGTATATTGACTGGCTGGATATGAGTGAGCTGGATCAAGGGACTTGGCCCAAGACAGCAACTGTGCAGGAACTACAAATAAAAGCTGGTGCTCATCACTGCTCATGGCGCCACACTCACACGTGCGATGCCACATACATACTATACCTTGGCAAGGTATGTAGCGCCACAATCACACGTGCAAACATACCTTGGCGTCCTTCTTGATCTCCAGCTTCCTCTTGGTGGCAGTCTTCGGCAGCAGGAGATCCTGGAGGGTGTCTTGGTACAGCTCCAGCATGTACACCTGCATAACGAGGGAGCAAGAGTAAGAGTGCGGGAGAAAAATTAAGGGACACTGTTGGACAAACTCAGCAGCAGCAGGTCCTGCATCGTGTCCTGGTAGACCTTAAGCATGTACACCTGCCACAGAGGAGGGGTGGGGAGGGGCAAGTGAGCGAGAACAAGTGAGTGAGGAGCTTCTGAGGCAGATTGAGAAGCAGCAGGTCGTGCAGCGTGATCTGGCAGCATGTAAACCTGGAACAGTGACATGAATAGGGTGGAAAATCAAGGGCCTAGGAGCATGCTTTGGCAGCAGCAGGTCCTGCAGCGCGTACACCTGGCAAGAGGAGATGCTGTGAGGGAATGCGGAGCAAAGATGAGTGAGCAAGATGAGCAAGTGAGGAGCCTGGCTGGAGGTCAGATCAGACTGAGCAGCAGTAGGTCCTGATACAGCTGCAGGACGTACGCCAGAAATACTTGCCAGAATAGGAGAGGGGAAACGAGGGGAAGAGCTGAAAAAAGAGCAGTACTGTTGGAGAGCCTGCAACATCAGCTTCACCCCTTCCTGCTCCTAATCACTGCTGCTAACTGCTAGACGGCAACTCACCCAGCCTCCTTCCTGAGGCAGTTGAAGAGCTCTTGCATGGCGCGCGGAGTGAGCCCAGGGTTGTTGTCCCCTTCCCCCACTTCCTGCGCCTAACCACTGGTAGCTCAAACTGCCAGAAAGCCAGCCCACCTGCAGCTTGTAGCTCATGCGCCCAGCCTCCTTCCGGAGGCAGTTGAACAGCTCCTGCATGGCGCGCGGCGTGAGCCCGGGGTTGTGGTCCCCTCCGTTGATGGTGAATGTCTTTCCGCTGCCCGTCTGCCCGTACGCGAATATGCACACGTTGTAGCCGTCAATGGCCGACTGGATGAGGTACTGCAGTGGGGAAGGCACAGAAGGCACATTGGGAAGGGGGTGAGGATGGGGTTTTGCTTCAATAAGGAGATGCACCCATCAATGGCCGACTGGATGAGGTACTGCATGGGGGGAAAAAGGGGGGGCAGAGGAAAGAGGGCGTTGGGCAGGAGGCAGGGGGTTTTATACGGTGAGAAGTGGTTTGATAAGGAGATGCTCAGACTGGAAGCAGGGATGGCCGACTGGATGAGGTACTGCAAGGGGGGAAGGCACACAAGGCACACAAGGCACTCAAGGCACATGGGGCAGGGGGTGAAATGGGGGTTGCTTTGACAAGGAGATGCACACACATTGGACCCATCAATAGCTGACTGAATAAGGTACTGCAAAGAGGGGAAGGGGGGTGTGCACAGGGAAAGAAGAGAAAAAGGGGGAAGGCAGGGGGGGACAGAGATAAGACGTGGGGAAGGTGTGATCTATAGTGCGCCTCCACCAGGTGCGCTCTGTGCCACTCTGCTACCACCTTTCCAGCAATGCCAAATGAAGACTTCCCTATCACCTTCCCTATCACCGGATCTTCCCCTTCGTGCCACCCGAAGCCAAACCCAACACAGCCCGCTCACCCGTGTGTCTTCAAAGATGGCTTCTTGGCTGGCCGTATGGTCAAACACGCGGTCAAACTGGTACGCCTTGGGCTGCCCACCGTCCTTCCAGGGGTGCTGGATGGCATTTCCATCACCCTTAAACCCAAAGCCTCTCACTCACCCGTGTGTCTTCGAAGATTGCCTCTTGACTGGCCGTGTGGTCAAACACGCGGTCAAACTGGTACACCTTGGGCTGCCCGCCGTCCTTCCAAGGGTGCTGCAGGGTGAACTCGTCGGGCATCTCCAGCACCATGCGCTGCCCCTCGCCCCGCTCCCTGCCACTCAGCGGCCGCCACCGCGCATACACCCGGATCTTCCCCTTCATGTCTGGGAGCGGGTAAGGGGGAGTAGGAAGAGGCGTTGGGAAGGGGAAGGATGGGGACGGGTGTTGGGACAGGGACAGGAATGGGGACGGGGATGGAAAGGGGAAGCATTCTCAGCGGCTTTCACTGCACATGCAAGCAGATCTTCCCCTTCATGTCTGGATGTGTGCAACAAGAGGACGGGGAGGGGGGACGAATCGTAAACCCTAGCAACCACCCCACACTCATGCCACTCACCCTCCATCATGTTGTAGTATCTCTTCCACAGCACTATCTCCTCCTTGCACGCCTTCCTTGTATGCATTCTGCTGCTAGCTTAGAAAAACCCAGCACCCAACCCACGCCCAAGCCACAGCCAACCACGCCCAGCCAACGCCAAGCCCACTCACCCTCCATCATGTTGTAGTATCGCTTGCGCAGCTCGATCTCCTCCTTATAAGCCTTTGCATGCCTTCACCATGATGCTAGGCCCCAGCAAGCACCCACCCCACCCCCAGCCCACTCACCCTCCATCATGTTGTAGTAGCGCTTGCGCAGCTCGATCTCCTCCTTGTACGCCTCATCCAGATCTGCTATTTGCTCCTTGTATAAGGTGACTTATGCTGTGCCCCAGCTCCCAGCCCACAGCACACTCATGCCACTCACCCTCCATCATGTTGTAGTATCTCTTGCGCAGCACGATCTCCTCCTTGTACGCCTTCTCCAGCTCCGCTATCTGCTTGCCCTGCCGCTGTATCACCTCCAGATGCTCCACCCGATTTCTCTCCATCTCCTGCAAGAAAGAAGGGGGGAAGAAACGAAGTCTTTTCATTATAAGAAGAAAAAGCATGGCCGGAAATGGCTTCCTGCTAGCCCTGCAGCTGTATCACCACTAAATTTTCCACCCGATTCCTCTCCATCTCCTGCAGCGCAGTAACAGGGATAGAAACAAAAACCATTCTTCACTAAAAGGAGCAATTCGCAGAAAAAACACACTACACACACAACAGCATGCACACAACATGGATTCAACATACACAAGACCCAACTCACCTCCTTCATCTCCCTCAGCTCGTCCAGCTCTTTGAAAAACTCCTCCAGGTGCTCCGACTGCGCCTCCTTCTCCTTCACCACCCACACCACACACACACTAGTCACACATGCACACAACACTCATACATACAGTCTCATCTCACACACGACGAACGCACCTCCTTCATCTCCCGCAGCTCATCCAGCTCTTTGAAAAACTCCTCCAGGTGCTCCGACTGCGCTTCCTTCTCCTTCACCTCCTCCCTCAGCTGGGCCTCCGCCGCCCGGCTCTCCTCCAATCGCTGATCGGCAATCGCCAGCCTGGCTGCCAGCTCATCCCTCTCTGCTGACGACCGCAGCTCCAGTGTCTTGATCTGGACGGCAGACGAGAAGTGACAGGGGAGGAGGATGAGGGAGGAGAGGGGTATTATTACTTTCGAGGCGCCTACGAATGACGCAGCTCCAAGGTCTTAATCTGGTGGTGAGAATAGCAGGGAGGGTAACGGTCAGGTGGAGGGAGGAGGGAAGGGAGGCAGGCAGGAGGAGGGAGGGGGAGGCGGGGAAAGGGGTCACGTGAGGATCACTAAATGTCTTAAGATGCTGTTGTGCAACTGAGATGAGAAACCATAAGGAGAATACGAACAAGGAGGCATGCAGGGTGGTAAACAGAAACCCGGAATGCAGAAGCCTCACCTCATTGTCCTTCGTAAGCTCAAGGTTTGACAGCTGCTGCTCCAACGCCTGCCTGTCCCTCGCAGCCGCTTGTGCCTGCTCCTCTGCCCGCCTGCCCACCGCCTTCAACTCCTCCTGCACCTCCTTCAACTGGATAGGGCCAGCAAACGACGTTTGAGGCAGGGGAGCGCAGGGGAAAAGAGGCAATTAGTACTCTGGAGAAGTGTTTCACGCTGCATCACTGCTCCTCTGCTCGCCTGCCCACCGCCTTCAACTCCTCCTGTACCTCCTTCAGCTGGTAACCAGCCATACACAGCACACGAGACAAATGTAACTGAGCTTTAGGAGATGGAAGATGTGTGACTTTGAAACTCGCCTGTTTTTTGCTTTTCTGCTCCAACTGCACTTCAGCTAGATAGCATAAGGTGAGTCAGAGAGAAGAAGGGGAATTCAGGCAACCAAGACGCACATGAGAGGGGAGGAGCTTTGCGGTGCTGCATATCTGTGACTGCTCCTTGGCTCGCCCTCTGCTCTTGTCCCTAATCTAACCAACCACTTACCTGCGACTCAAGAGCTCGTGCCCTTGCATCATTCAGCAGACTCATGTTGCTGCCCGTGCTGCCAAGGTAATCAAATCAGCTCCCTTAACAATTGTCAACCAACTCCCAAGTTGAGTGAACGCACCTGCGACTCAACAGCCCGTGTCCTGGCGTCATTCAGCAGACTCATGTTGCTGCCCGTGCTGCCAAGGTAATCAAATCAGCTCCCTTAACATTTGTCAACCAACTCCCAAGTTGAGTGAACGCACCTGCGACTCAACAGCCCGTGTCCTGGCGTCATTCAGCAGACTCATGTTGCTGCCCGTGCTGCCAAGCCCTTCTCTCCACCTTAGGAAAGATTGACCAAGTCTGAGGCTGACTGGAAGCGCACCTGGGACTCGAGAGCTCGTGTTCTGGCATCATTCAGCAGACTCATGTTGCTGCCCGTGCTGCCAAGCCCTCATTCAGCAGACTCATGTTGCTGCCCGTGCTGCCAAGCCCTTCTCTCCACCTTAGGAAAGATTGACCAAGTCTGAGGCTGACTGGAAGCGCACCTGGGACTCGAGAGCTCGTGTTCTGGCGTCATTCAGCAGACTCATGTTGCTGCCCGTGCTGCCAAGCCCTTCTCTCCACCTTAGGAAAGATTGACCAAGTCTGAGGCTGACTGGAAGCGCACCTGGGACTCGAGAGCTCGTGTTCTGGCGTCATTCAGCAGACTCATGTTGCTGCCCGTGCTGCCAAGCCCTTCTCTCCGCCTCACACTTCCAGGCGTGAAGGACCCAGATGACAGCGCTGCTTCCCTGCCCGGATGATTCGCCGTCTGTGGATGTGACGTGGTGGAGGGGGAGTGGAGGGAGAGGGGGGCAGAGAGTAGGTAACAAATTGAGTACGAACGAAGGCACCGACTCTCCTCACGTTTCCAGAAGTGAAAACTTTAGACAACCTGCTTCTCTGCCCAGCCGATTTGCATCTGCGTCTGTGAAGAAGAGAGACGAGAGTAGGAATGAAGAAGTAAGGAGGGAGAGAAGAGTGCGGGAAAGGTGAGGACTCAAGTACATGTAAAGAAACGACTCTCCTAAGCTGAAATGGGCACGGAAGCAGTACTGCTACTGAAACTCGAGAGCCTTGGATGAATGCATGCATGCATCCCTCATCCCACAACCCGTGCTTCAGCACCACCCTAACCGCCTGGAAATGCTTTCTGAGCCACCCAAATACGTCTCCACTTTTCCCCTGTCCCCCTTACCTGTAGCATCTCGGCCAGCCGATCCCGCTCCTCCACCACCTCCTCGTTCGCCACCTCCCCCTGCCTCAGCGCCTCCTTCACTGCCTGCAGCTCGCTCTGCAACTTCACCTCTGCTGCCGCACGTGCTGCCACTTCTTGGTTCAACTGGGGGTTGAAGGGGGATGGCGGGAACAGGTAAACCAAGACAAACGGGAGACAAACGGGATAAGAAGAGCATCCAATGAATGCGATAGACCTCTATCCTGCCGATAGAGAAAATTGAACCGTAAGAAAAAAAAAAAAACCGGCGTATCAAGACACATGGGAGAGGAGGAGAATAGGAGCGTACAAAAAGGCAAGATAAACAAATTTCCTGGCTCGTTGAAGGGGAAAAAATAGAAACAAAAGGCTACGCTGAGAGCTGCTGGCGAATAAGCATAGAGAGAGGCAGCTGCTAGGGGAAAATGCTGGAAGAGACACAACAAGGCAGACATACAAGTCTCTCTACCTGTTCAATGTGCATGAAGGCCCTTGTCAAGCTCTCCGACAACTCCTTGGTCCGGTGCTCATACTCCGTTATCGGGTGCGGCCCCTGTCCCTGCCCCTCCCCCAACACCCCTCCTCCTCCTCCACCCGCTGAAATCCCTTCCCCAGCCGCCCCACCCCCAGCAGGCCCCAACCCAAGCATCGGCGCGTTGTGCCCCCGCGCTCGTTGCCTGGCGAAGCGGCGGGTCAAGGCGTCGTTGATGTGCGTCTGGATGGCGAGGCAGATCTCCTCCCCCTGGGAGGTCTCGAACTGGAAGACATGCAGTGAGCCCACCACGCGCATCTTGAAGAACACCGCGGCGGGGCTGCTGCCAAACTGCATGATGTCGCGCAGCTCTGCTGAGTGCAGGTACTCCTTTGGGACAGGCCTGAAGAAGTGCACCTGTGTGTGGAGGGAATGCGTGTGGAGGCAGGAAGTGTGAGGGTGTTGGGAGGGCAGGGCTGCTGCCAAACTGCATGATGTCGCGCAGCTCTGCTGAATGCAGGTACTCCTTTGGTACCGGCCTGAAGAAGTGGACCTGTGTGTGGAGGGAGGGAGGGAGGGAGGGGTGAGTGTGTGGGAGGTTCAGGAAGGGAGGGGGAAGGACAGCAATGCCATGATTTTTGTGCTGACGCAAGGGCCAAGGCCAGCCAGTGCGAGGCAGATCTCCTCGCCCTGTAAGGTCAGAGCAGATCTCCTCCCCCTGGGAGGTCTCGAACTGGAAGACATGCAGTGAGCCCACCACGCGCATCTTGAAGAACACCGCGGCGGGGCTGCTGCCAAACTGCATGATGTCGCGCAGCTCTGCTGAGTGCAGGTACTCCTTTGGGACAGGCCTGAAGAAGTGCACCTGTGTGTGGAGGGAATGCGTGTGGAGGCAGGAAGTGTGAGGGTGTTGGGAGGGCAGGGCTGCTGCCAAACTGCATGATGTCGCGCAGCTCTGCTGAATGCAGGTACTCCTTTGGTACCGGCCTGAAGAAGTGGACCTGTGTGTGGAGGGAGGGAGGGAGGGAGGGGTGAGTGTGTGGGAGGTTCAGGAAGGGAGGGGGAAGGACAGCAATGCCATGATTTTTGTGCTGACGCAAGGGCCAAGGCCAGCCAGTGCGAGGCAGATCTCCTCGCCCTGTAAGGTCAGAGCAGATCTCCTCCCCCTGGGAGGTCTCGAACTGGAAGACATGCAGTGAGCCCACCACGCGCATCTTGAAGAACACCGCGGCGGGGCTGCTGCCAAACTGCATGATGTCGCGCAGCTCTGCTGAGTGCAGGTACTCCTTTGGGACAGGCCTGAAGAAGTGCACCTGTGTGTGGAGGGAATGCGTGTGGAGGCAGGAAGTGTGAGGGTGTTGGGAGGGCAGGGCTGCTGCCAAACTGCATGATGTCGCGCAGCTCTGCTGAATGCAGGTACTCCTTTGGTACCGGCCTGAAGAAGTGGACCTGTGTGTGGAGGGAGGGAGGGAGGGAGGGGTGAGTGTGTGGGAGGTTCAGGAAGGGAGGGGGAAGGACAGCAATGCCATGATTTTTGTGCTGACGCAAGGGCCAAGGCCAGCCAGTGCGAGGCAGATCTCCTCGCCCTGTAAGGTCAGAGCAGATCTCCTCCCCCTGGGAGGTCTCGAACTGGAAGACATGCAGTGAGCCCACCACGCGCATCTTGAAGAACACCGCGGCGGGGCTGCTGCCAAACTGCATGATGTCGCGCAGCTCTGCTGAGTGCAGGTACTCCTTTGGGACAGGCCTGAAGAAGTGCACCTGTGTGTGGAGGGAATGCGTGTGGAGGCAGGAAGTGTGAGGGTGTTGGGAGGGCAGGGCTGCTGCCAAACTGCATGATGTCGCGCAGCTCTGCTGAATGCAGGTACTCCTTTGGTACCGGCCTGAAGAAGTGGACCTGTGTGTGGAGGGAGGGAGGGAGGGAGGGGTGAGTGTATGGGAGGTTCAGGAAGGGAGGGGGAAGGACAGCAATGCCATGATTTTTGTGCTGACGCAAGGGCCAAGGCCAGCCAGTGCGAGGCAGATCTCCTCGCCCTGTAAGGTCAGAGCAGATCTCGTCGCCCTGGGAGGTCTCGAACTGGAAGACGTGCAGCGAGCCCACCACGCGCATCTTGAAGAACACTGCTGCGGGGCTGCTGCCAAACTGCATGATGTCCCGCAACTCTGCTGAGTGCAGATACTCCTTCGGGACCGGCCTGAAGAAGTGCACCTGTGTGTGGAGGGAATGCGTGTGGAGGCAGGAAGTGTGAGGGTGTTGGGAGGGCAGGGCTGCTGCCAAACTGCATGATGTCGCGCAGCTCTGCTGAATGCAGGTACTCCTTTGGTACCGGCCTGAAGAAGTGGACCTGTGTGTGGAGGGAGGGAGGGAGGGAGGGGTGAGTGTATGGGAGGTTCAGGAAGGGAGGGGGAAGGACAGCAATGCCATGATTTTTGTGCTGACGCAAGGGCCAAGGCCAGCCAGTGCGAGGCAGATCTCCTCGCCCTGTAAGGTCAGAGCAGATCTCGTCGCCCTGGGAGGTCTCGAACTGGAAGACGTGCAGCGAGCCCACCACGCGCATCTTGAAGAACACTGCTGCGGGGCTGCTGCCAAACTGCATGATGTCCCGCAACTCTGCTGAGTGCAGATACTCCTTCGGGACCGGCCTGAAGAAGTGCACCTGTGGAGGAGAAAATGTGTGTGGAGGGAGGAAGCATGGGGGTGTTGGGAGGGTTGGGCTGCAGCCAAACTGCATGATGTCGCGCAGCTCTGCTGAATGCAGGTACTCCTATGGGACCGGTCTGAAGAAGTGCACCTGCGAAGAGGGGTGTGTGTGTGTGTATGTTGGGAGGTTTTGGGGGGGGAAGAGGAGGGAGGACAGCAACACCAACAGCCAACGGTAGCAGCATTGCTTACCACCTTCTTGCTGAAACCGATCAATGCTCTCCCTGGCAGCAGCCCTATGGGGCCCAAACAGCGCCTCACATACACCGAACAGCCAAACAGCAAGGAAAATATGTCACCGCAAATCAAATCAAATCCACATCAGGGCAGAGTGGGGCAACTTACCCCGCGCTTGTTGATGCCAATCAGCACTCGCCCCGGCAGCAGCCCAATGGGGTCTTCAATGCGCCTCACATGGTAGAATGCGGAACCACCGTAAGGGAGGGCTCGGATTATCCTCAAGGTCTGCTGCCTCGCTTCTTCAGGCGTCAGGTGTGACTGCAACACAGGATAGGGTTGAAAGGGATGAGAGAACAAAGCAAGAAGGCAGAAAGAGTGAGATGACGTGCCATAACAAAGGCTTCATCATGCCCCTTCATTCAATGCTCGAATAACTGCTGCCACGCATCTGCATGTGTGAGGTGTGACTGGTTGGCAAGAGGAACAAGGCAATGGCAGTGTAATGGGTCCCTCCACTCGAGGCTCCTTAACCAAGATTTTAGAAATCGTGTCCCTTAGTGTCCCCTGTTCAGAACTCTGAGGGCTCTTAATTAAGATAAGCTGATGTGGTAGAGGCATTGCGTGGCGGCAGCACATGGGCGAGTGGTGCTCGACAGAGTGAGTCATTCAAAGCAAGTGTGCGTTAAGCAATAGGTGATAGGGGGTTAGAGGGGCGCGGCTTCCAGTGCCTTATCACGAGGCGGCTTTGAACGAGCAGAAAACGGGCTTACCAGCGCCTTGTAGCGAGTGAGGACGTCCATGTCCCACTCGCGCTTCTGCCTCATGGGCTGGAACTGCACTGGGATAGTCCGCTCCACCTGCGCTTGCCAGTCTCTGCAGGGACGAGAACAAGGGAAGGGAGGGAGGAATGATGGAGGGAGGAAGGCAGGAAGTGGAGCGTGAAAACGAGTGAGAATGAGGGTGGGAAGGAGGGCGGGAGGAAGAGGGGAGGGAGGGTGGAAGCGAATGCGGGATGAGGGTGGGTGGAAGGGAGGAGGCACATGAGCAGAGAAGATCTACTACTTCTAATCAGAAGCCCTCACGCTAGAATCAGCCCTGCTCCTAAGAGAAACTCTCTCAGCACAACAAACACCTTCCCAACACAACCTCCCCATGCGAACGAACTCACAGCGTGACCTCAGGCTCGGGCAGCAAGCCAAAGTCCACGATCAACTGCAGCGCCGCCATCTGCGCCACGTCATCCCGGGGCACGGGGTAATTGCCCTCCTCGTAGTCCTGCTTCGCCTGCAGATACGACAGCTGGACGAACACTTGGTCCGTGATCGCCTCCTCGTTCTCCCGAAAGAACTTCTTGCGAAAGAGAAGGCGCAGCTGCACTTGCCGCTCGCTCTTCTCTCTGAAACTCATGAGCTCCGCCATCACGTCCCCCATGTAGGCCTTCTCATCAATCCCCATGTAATCATCTGTTCAACATGAAAGGGAGAATGATATCAATCAGAGACATTACAAGCACTGCTGTTGTATACAAGTGTGCCATTGCAATCATTTGTGCGAGTGGGATGAGCTTGGGACTGGGCAGCATCGGACCGTCAAACCATTCAAAACCGCAAAGACACATACAGCAAGTCTATCACTCAAGTGACAACATCACACCTGAAGACCTGCCAGAATCACAGACACACAACTTCTGACTTGACCCACTCTCAGTACGCACGGGACAGACAAACGAACTTAGTGCACTGGACCGACTTACAGTACACACGGGACAGACAAACTAACTTACTGCTCTGGCTCTACTCACAGTACGCACGGGACAGACTAACGAACTAGGACTCACTGGTCACGACTGCTTTCGTGGGACTCACTGGATACGTTCTCCGAGTTGTTGTTAGCGAGCGTGATATATTTTCTGTGCTCGTACAACCCAAAGGTCTGGAACTCCTCCAGGCGAATGCTGGTTGCCACACTCTGCACAACCACAACACACAGTAATGATGGTTGCACAGGACAGGACAGTTGCATCATGACACGCCAGTCGCATGGTCGCACAAGACATGACAGTGACTTGGAGGGAAATACATATTGCTAGTTCAATGAATAGCAGACCGACGCATATATGAACCTTCAACGCGGCTAAGAGACAGAAGCATTTAAAAAACAGAGGCGTCTCAAAACCAAAGGGACAAATCTCGCGCTACAGTCCTATGCCTCTACAATCCCATGCGTACCTCCAGAATTTCTGCAGCTGTTGTGGACGCGTCGTACCCGACCTCCTCGAACGTATCATCCAGAAAGAAGACCATCGTCTTGAGAGCTCGGCCCGTCATCAGCGCCAGCAGCTCATCAACGGTCGGGATCGTCTTCCTCGCGCCGATCTTCATCGCCTTCTTCAGCGCGTGCCACGTGGCAAGCGCCTGCGACTTCACCTCCTCGTCGACCCCCGCGTCGTTCGCGATCTCATGCACGTACTCGGTAATAGGCGTCCCGAGATACGCCCCCGGCGGCGCCACCGACGCGCACAGATGCATCACCTCCCACGCTCTTAAACACGCCTCCCTGTCGTGGTTATTCCGCGTCTGCTTATGCAGCTGCGCGTACAGCTCCTCCCGCATCTCCGGCTTCCGAAGAACCATTTTGAGGATTCGAACCAGCGTCTGCGCCAGCTCGCGTTCGTCTGTGATCGGCGCGCCGTTGAGCCCCATGTAGTGCAGAATATCTTGGAACATTCGCACGGCTTTCGTCTGCAGGTCTGTGGGGAGCCGCGTAAGCGAGGTCGGGATAGGGTCCTGCAGGAACGGCACCAGCGGGAGGCACCAGCGGGAGGCACAGAATGGTACACAGAAGATTTCGGTGAAAGCGCACGAGACTATGCGGAGCGAGATCTTATGCGGAGCAGCTTGCGTAGGATCTTTGTCAACACAATTCATATGTTGCCTACTAGGCCCTGCTCCTACCCTTTGAAAGCTCAGCATGTCTTCGAAAATTGCTCGGTCGGAGCCGTCGTGCGCGCCAGGAGTCGCATGTTGTCGCCGGCCCAGCAGGCTGCGACGGGCTGCGACGGACTGTCGCTGCACCGCCTTGAGGTAGTGCTCCACGTGGTACAGCTCGCTGATTGGGAAGCTCGTGAGACTGCTGCCGGCGGCCGGCCTGCACGAGAGAGCAACAGGTGGGCAAAGCGGACAGACGAACAGACGGGAGAGAATGAATTGATGACAAGACCCAGGGGGGGGAAGCGGCCAGAGGAAAGAGATACAGCTCGCTCATGGGAACGGTTGCGAGGTTTCCGCCTACAGCCAGCCGATGTGACAAGGTAAAAGGCTATTATTTCTCAGGCTAGGGAAGGAAGTGTACTGCCGGCATTGAAGGTGGAAGGGCTGCAGGACGAGTAACTGGGATAAACGCACGGATCTACGTTGAAACTGACAGAAGAATGCATTACGAACCTTGAGAGCACTTGAGCTGACACAGAAGAGCATTCAGGAGACTCGAGCTGGCTCGCAGCAGCTTCCAGCTGACTGTTCTGAGCATTCGATAGCTCCCGCATGACATGCCTGCCGTTGGAAAAGTCAATCACTCATGTCAGGGACAAGGTTCCGGATAACGTTCAGAACTGCAAGCTTAGAACTCCAGAAGCTACCAAACAAGCGGGAGCATTGGTAGGCGAAAAATCGATGACATCATTATTATACTATTCTAGTTGCTCCTCCACTTACTTCTCTACGATGGTCATTCCCCCGCTATGGTACCCCGCATCCATCTGAGACCGCAGGTTGAGTGGAGTCGCGGGTCTTGTCCCTGACTCCGAGGAGTAAGTCGATCCGACCATCCTGGAAACGATGCGACCAGAGCAACTCGATCGTTCTTGTCGATGTACGCTTGAATAAACAAACGTAGCTAGATTTTTCCCTGACAGAAGAACGGTGAAACGCTTTCTAATCGGCTTCTTCACGAAATATTAACGGGAGAGGAGCTAAAGCTAGAACTATAAAGCAGTCGCTTCCTAAAATAAGAACCCGAAAATGTTACCGCGATAATCCTAAGTAAGGTAGAACCCCTCGTTCCGCCTTCTTCAGCGTTGTTTCTAATCGAAAGTGGTCATTATGCTCGTGGATCTTTAGTACGAAGGAACTTGTATAATGAAGGTCCCCATTAAGAATAATCCCTACGATGTAAAATTCTTATTGCGTACTCGATCTTAGCGAACGCCATGGCTGAGTGTAGGGGAAGATCGCAAACTCTCGCTGACAAGCTAAAACGTCTCTGAAAGTCCGACCCAATTTCAGACTAGTAAGCAAACAAGCAGTTGCGAAAGCCGGCGAAATCGGTTAACCTGCACGATGAGACAGGACAGTTTCGACGCCGTTGGATTCGAGAGCCGAATTTCTCGAAGACAGGAAAGCCGTCAAGCTAAGAGTCACTAGGCGTGCTTCGAAGATCGGGAATGACAGGACGCGACAGCACACAGGGCTTGCATGAAAGCATAGCTTGGAGGAATCAGGAAACATGGTTGAAAATTGGTCCATGATAAGCTGGGAAGGATTAACCGAGGTGGACCATGATGTACCGTCTCATAACGTATGAAACCGAGAGGTAAGACGGAAGAGTCTTGGGTGTGTGACATGACAGAAATCCGAAGGGATATGATCCTAATGAGTGTCAGGCAAGGAGAGGGTGATGGAAGCAGTGGCGGGAAAACCGTATTGTGCCTGCATGGGCCGACGAAGCGCGGTAATTTGAGGATCCCTGGATGGTAAGCATTTTGATGGGGTGTTCGCATGGCCGTCCGATTACGCTGACACAGAGCCCGAGGCTGGTGAAAACTCGAGAGCCGAGTCGCGATAACCTCCATACCTCACTCAAGTGAGTGCCTTCCTTGTTCGCTTTGTTGAGCTTCACTCATGCTTCCTAATAAAACCATTTACGGCTGAAACCCGATTGCATTACAAAGGTGTTTGGATGTAAAAGAAAAGTGGACATGGAAATGGGGAAATGATAGAGGCATAATAGCATACAGTATCTTTTGTATAAAATCCTTTGAATGTATACAGATTTGTTTTTGTGAAGCTGAAGCGTTTCATTATCTACGTGATCACTTTAGTTTTTTCAGTATCACTACTCAATTGCTACACTGAGACACTATCTGTCAACTAAATTCCAGGACTTATGTGGAGAATCTCTACAGCCCAACCGCCCACCCACCAGCCCACTGGCTCCCACAACTTGGTCCTGATTTGTATGGTGCATCTCGGTTCAAAGCGGTGAGGAAGAAATTAGCCTGCTTACCGTATGGAAGCTTACTGAACCGCACTGGTGAGGGGTTGAGACATTATCATCGGTCTCTTCGGTGCACAGCAAATGTCTCTTTCGATCGCCAGAGGTGAATTATTCAGCGGGCATCACTTATCCGTCAGGCAAATAGTGCCGCGGTGTGCCTTACCTTTGAGTCTGTGACCATAGCAAATGCGCCGGTACTTATTTCGCCGTTTGGCGCTCCGTTTGTTGGCTTAGAGCCACCCATGCCGGTTAAGTGATACCATCTTAACGAAAGTTGCGAACGAGCGAAGTATCGTAAATGCGGACAGGGTCCAATTTCCTAGTGGCGCATTCTTAGCGAGCTTGAGACTTTCAGTCTGCTTGCCCGTGACACACGCTGTTATCGTGGCTAAGCCGTATTGTCCCTTGTGCACTAGCTCGTATTTATAAGCTTTAAACTCTCGACATGGCGACATTTTGAGAGCAATTATCGCCTCGACGGAGCCAATTCCAATGGTAGGTAATTTCCTGCGTAAATTCTAATTGTATCTTGCGCCGACGCGACAATGACTCATAGAAGCCAGTACCCACGGGTATTATCCTTCCGCGACCTTCGAATTACCTTTTTGGAGATTAACAACTTATTCCTGAAGTCATGTTCGTTCCAGTCTTTGACTCTCCGTGCCCCATTGCGCGCTCTTCCAGCCTTACATTTCCGTCTGCTCTTAATTGTCCGTTGGTCAGCGAACCGCTTCATGATGTACTGGCATGGCATGCGCACTCGTTACCGTCAATACCGCGGTCAACTTGGTTACCCCACACCTCACACCCGCTCGTTACAGTCACTCCAATTTTCATTCTCGCTTCACCCACCCCTCACTTCCCGCATACACCTCACATGTCGCAGGGCGACCAGGGCGAGGGTCGCCCCGTGTCGCACGGCGACCAGGGCGTGAGTCGGCCCATGTCGGCGGGCGGGAGGCGGAAACCCCCCGCGGAAGGGGCCGGGGAGGTGTCGGAGCTGATGGCGCGCTTCCAGCGGCACAAGCAGGTGCGCTTGTAGCGCGGACGGGGGTGTGGGTGAATAAACGCGGAGGGGGGGAGGTGGGGGAAGAAGGGGGCGGGAAGGTGGTGGAGCTGATGGCGTGCTTCCAGCGGCACAAGCAGGTGCGCTCGTTTGGGGGGGAGTGTGGGGGGGAGTTGATGGGGGAAGAAACGGGGAGGGGGGGGTTAGGTGGGGGAAGGAGAGGGGGAGGTGGCGGAGCTGATGGCGCGCTTTCAGAGGCACAAGCAGGTGCGCTCGTAGCGCGGGAGGGGGGTTGGGGAAGGAGAATGTTAGTGGCCGGAGCGGGCACCGGGAGGGGATGGGGAAAGTAGAGGGGGAGGAGAGAGGATGAGGGAGGGGGGAGGGGAGGGAAAGGATGAAACTTGGTAGAGGGATTCTGAGTGTTGGAGGGTGGATGGTGGCCTGAAGACCCGTGCGTGGTGGCCTGACAAAAACGCACCGCCCAAAACGTCTTTTCCATTTCCACCCATCTCCACCCATCTCCACCCCGCCATCCCCCCATGTCTCCCCCCTCCAGAGCAACAAGGACCCCTCAGGGCCGTCCTCCCCCCTCGCCACCCTCCGCGCCTCCCCCTCCAGCCCCTCCGCGCTCCCCCTCAACCGCTCCTCCAGCTGCGCCCTCCCCTCCTCCGCCACTGGGGGGGGCGCCAGCGCGTCCGCGCTCCCCTCTTCCCCCTCCTCCTCCGCCTCTTCCGCCTCCTCCACCCCTAAGCGGCGCTCCAGAGCTGCAGCAGCAGTGGCGGCTGCTGGTGGCGGCGCTTCTGGGGGGGCTGGAGCTGGGGCTGGGGAGGCAGGGGCGGAGCAGGTTTTGTTGCCATCCCCATCCGGTTCTCAGGTATGCTCCTGTTTTTCTAGGGAGTAAGGGAGGGATGGGGGCTCTGTCTGAAACACGCCTGTGCCGCAGGGCAGGCACGCCGCCCTCTCCTTCTCCGCCACTGCAGGGGGGGAACGCCGGCGCGTTTGCGCTCCCCTCGTCCCCCTCCTCCTCCACCTCTTCCGCCTCCTCCACACCTAAACGGCGCTCCAGAGCTGCAGCAGCTGCGGCTGCTACTGGTGGGGGTGCTGCTGGTAGTGCGGGTGCTGGTGGTGCTGGGGTTGGGGAGGGAGGAGCGGAACAGGTACAGCTGCCATCCCCATCCGCTCCTCAGGTGTGCTTGTGTTTTATTAGGGGCTAGGGAGAGAGGGGGCTCTCTGGGTGAAACACGCTTGTGCTGCACGGCTGGCACGGCGCTTCAAGTTACGCAGCAGCCTCTTCTGCTGCCTGCTTCCGTGTTTGTTCTATTTGACGCGTGACTGATGCATAGTTGTGTGCTGTGCACTGAGCGCTGCCTGCTGTGTATCTGCGTGCACTGAGCACGCTCACAAGTCAAGCGGGAGAAAATGCTATGCGAGGTGCTGTGATTGCAAAAATCAAGTGCGCATTGCCTGCTGTGTGTCGGTGTGCTGTAATGGCAGAGCACGGGGAAGGAGGAGCGCGCTCACAAGTCAAGTGGGAAGAAATCCAAAGAGCATAAGGAGGGAAAAGAGCATAAGGAGGGGAGGGAGCATAAGGAGCATAAGGAGGGGAAGGAGCATAAGGAACACAAGGAGGGAAAAGAGGGAAAGAAGTCCTCAAGAGTAGGTCCCGTTCTCTCTCTGCTCTGCACGCGTCTTCCAACCCAATCCCTCTTCTCCATGTCTTCTACTGATTCTCTTCCCACCCTCCTGCTCCTATACCATGCCTCCCTGCCTGCCCCTTTGCCTACCTGCGCCATTTTCCCTGCCCCCGTGCCCCCCTGCTGCCGTCCCCCTACCGCCCACATCTTGCTCAATGCTGCTTCTGTACACAACGCTGGATCTCCCCTGCTCAATGCTCAACGTTGGTGGTCCTGGCGTGTGTGTGTGCGTGGGCACGTATTTGTGTTTGCGTGTGTGCGTGTGTATGTGTGCACGCGCGCGAGTGGATGTGTGCGTGCATCTCTGTGTGTGCGTTTGTGTGTGCAGAAGGAGGCGTTGGAGGAGATGCGGGTGGAGGTAGAATCACTTCGAGCCGAGTTGGCCCGGTGGCAGGGCCGGTGCGAGGAGGGCGAGAGGACTTTTGAGTCAACCCAAAAGGCACTACGGGCCGAAGTGGCGGAGTGGCAGGGGAAGTGTGAGGAGGGGGAGAGGCAGCGAGGCGAGGAGCAGAGGCGCAGGGAATCCGCTGAGGCGAGCCTTGAAGGAGCTGCTGCTGCAGGGGAGGCGGAAGGGGGTGTGGGAGGCGTGGGGGAGGAGGAGAGGAGTGAGGGGAGGGAGAGGGAGGCGAGTCTAGAGGTCCGAGTGAAGGAGCTTGAGGAGCAAGTGCGTGTTGCAGAGGCAGCACTGGTGGAGGCGAGTGAGCGGGCAGAGAGAGCCATGAGGGAGAGGGAGGAGGGTGAAAGGAGGGCGCTTCAGATGGAGCAGGAGCGGGGGGAGGCTGAGAGGGGGAGGCGAGAGGCGGAGGAGAGGGCTGCAGAAGCAGAGGCACGGGCGGTTGCAGCGGAGCAGAGGGTGGGTGAGTTGGAAACGAGGGTAGGTGAGATGGAACAAAAGGTAGTTGAGTTGGAAGAGAAGGTGCGTGAAGCAAAGGGGACGGTGGGTGAGGAAGGCAGGAGGAGGGCTGAGTTGGAGCAGAGGGTGGGAGAAGCAGAAGGGAGAGCAGCCGCGGCGGAATCGCATGCGAGTGAGCTGGAGGGGAGGCTGGAGCAGGGGGTTGAGAAGGAGAAGAGCAGAGATGAGAGGGAGAAGGCGAGGAGGGAGGGGGAGAGGGGCGAGTGGGAGGAGGAGAGGAGGGAGATGGAGAGGAGGTGGGAGGAGGTGATGCAGGAGGAGGTGGGGAGGAGAGAGGGGAGGATCAGAGAGCTAGAGGCCCGGGTTGAGGCTCTCATGTCAGGATCTCAGCCGTCTTTTGAGACGTCTCAAAAGGTTCTAACATCTGCATCCGCTGCTCGTGCTGTCACCAGCCTGTCAGGTCCTGAGGGTGTGCTGGAGAATTCTATGAAGGAAGCTCTGTCAGGGTCTGAGGGGGCTGTTTGCATGGCGGTACAGGAGGGGGAGGGGGAGGGCAAGGGTGGGGCGGCTGTAGCACAGGAAGAATCAACGGCTGACGCTGTCCCGGCTGACTTGGGCTCTGCTGACGTGTCAGTCTCGCAGCTGCCTGCTGACGTGGCACTGCTGCAGCACAAGCTGGAGGTGGCGGTGGGCGAACTGAAGAGTTTGCGGGCGGCAAAGCGGGCGGCAGATGCTGAGATCAGCGATCTGAGGCAGACTCGAGAGGACACGATCAGGTAAATGGGAGGACAGCATTAGGTGAGTGAGAGGACAGCATTAGGTGAGCGAGAGGACAGCATTAGGTGAGTGAGAGGACAGCATTAGGTGAGCGAGAGGACAGCATTAGGTGAGTGAGAGGACAGCATTAGGTGAGTGAGAGGACAGCATTAGGTGAGCGAGAGGACAGCATTAGGTGAGTGAGAGGACAGCATTAGGTGAGTGAGAGGACAGCATTAGGTGAGTGAGAGGACAGCATTAGGTGAGTGAGAGGACAGCATTAGGTGAGTGAGAGGACAGCATTAGGTGAGTGAGAGGACAGCATTAGGTGAGTGAGAGGACAGCAGGTGAGTGAGAGGACAGCATTAGGTGAGTGAGAGGACAGCATTAGGTGAGTGAGAGGACAGCATTAGGTGAGTGAGAGGACAGCATTAGGTGAGTGAGAGGACAGCATTAGGTGAGTGAGAGGACAGCATTAGGTGAGTGAGAGGACAGCATTAGGTGAGCGAGAGGACAGCATTAGGTGAGTGAGAGGACAGCATTAGGTGAGTGAGAGGACAGCATTAGGTGAGTGAGAGGACAGCATTAGGTGAGTGAGAGGACAGCATTAGGTGAGTGAGAGGACAGCATAAGGTGAGTGAGAGGACAGCATTAGGTGAGTGAGAGGACAGCATTAGGTGAGTGAGAGGACAGCATTAGGTGAGTGAGAGGACAGCATTAGGTGAGTGAGAGGACAGCATTAGGTGAGCGAGAGGACAGCATTAGGTGAGTGAGAGGACAGCATTAGGTGAGTGAGAGGACAGCATTAGGTGAGTGAGAGGACAGCATTAGGTGAGTGAGAGGACAGCAGGTGAGTGAGAGGACAGCATTAGGTGAGTGAGAGGACAGCATTAGGTGAGTGAGAGGACAGCATTAGGTGAGTGAGAGGACAGCATTAGGTGAGTGAGAGGACAGCATTAGGTGAGTGAGAGGACAGCATTAGGTGAGTGAGAGGACAGCATCAGGTGAGTGAGAGGACAGCATTAGGTGAGTGAGAGGACAGCATTAGGTGAGTGAGAGGACAGCATTAGGTGAGTGAGAGGACAGCATTAGGTGAGTGAGAGACACAATCAGGTGGAGTGACGTCCCCGTTAGACGGTGTCCAAGCTCGCTTCTCTCCTGGTGACTTTTGAGTCGACTCAAAAGTCAGCTCGTTACAATTGCACACGGCACAATCAGGTGGAGTGAGAAGCACCGTCCCCGTTAGACGGTGTCCAAGCTCGCCTCTCTCCTGGTCTGTCCCCCACTTCCCTCCCCTTCCCCTCCTCTTCATTTCCTCCCTGTGTGCTGAGCAGGCGAGTGGAGGAGCTGGTGCGGGAGACGTTGAGAGAGCAAGAGATAACAGCAGAGGCGGGCATGGTGGCATTCATATGCTCTCTCTCATCTTGCTCATCTCATCCCCTCGTTCCCACTCTCCATCCGTCCCCCTTCCACCCCCTCCCCATCCCCCGTCGCCCCCCTGTGTGCTGAGCAGGCGAGTGGAGGAGTTGGAGGGGGAGAAGCAAAGGCTGGAGATGGAACTGGAAGAGCTGGTAAACTGGTGGGGGAGCAGGAGATAGCAGCGGAGGCGGGCATGGTGGCATTCATATGCGCTCACATCCTCCTCTTTGTTCCTCCCCTTGTCCCCCCAACCCTAGGCGAGTGGTGGAGTTGGAGGGGGAGAAGCAAGGGCTGGAGCTAGAGCTAGAGGAGCTGGTGAGCGAGTTGCTGAGGGAGCAGGAGATAGCAGCGGAGGCGGGCATGGTGGCGGAGCAGGAGTGGCAGCGCCGCCAGGAGGCCGTGAGAGCGCTCATTCAGTTGGAGTCACTCTGAAGCTCCCTCTTCTCGTTGGCTGTCCCCCTCCCCCTCCCCTTCCCCCCTCCCTTCCCCCTCCCCTTCCCCCTCCCCTTCCCCCTCTCCTTTGCATTTCTCCTCCTGTATGCAGGCGAGTGGTGGAGTTGGAGGGGGAGAAGCAAGGGCTGGAGCTAGAGCTAGAGGAGCTGGTAAACGAGTTGCTGAGGGAGCAGGAGATAGCAGCGGAGGCGGGCATGGTGGCGGAGCAGGAGTGGCAGCGCCGCCAGGAGGCCGTGAGAGCGCTCGTGCAGATGGAGAGGCAGCTCAACAGCGCTGGTACTGCTGTCGCTGGCGCTGCTGGGGAGAGCGTCTTAACGGCAGCTGGTTACCAGGTTACGAATGAGTTGGGTGGGCATGCGGTTGTGTCTCCCCCTGGAGTGCCGGATCCAACAGCAGCAGTGGCAGCAGGAGCAGCAGCAGGAGGGCCGTACCTCAGGAGAGGCCAATCCGACGTGTCAGCGTTTCACAGGCGCATTCCCAGCTCCTCCTCCTCCTCCTCATTCAAGCTCCAGCAGCAGCAGCAGCAGCAGCAGCAGCAGCAGCAGCAGCAGCAGCAGCAGCAGCAGCAGCAGCAGCAGCAGCAGCAGCAGCAGCAGCAGCAGCATCAAGGGGCGCTCGACCCCACCCTACTTGCGGACAACCCAGAGGAATCAGACTTCCTGGGTACAAAGCTCCCCGAGATCAAGCGCCGCCTGGAAGCGGCAGCCATCTCGCCCGCCCCCACGCCCTCCTCCTGCCCCTCCCGCGCTCCCGGGCAGGTTGGGCAGGTTGGGAAGCCGGGGCACCGCATATCTCGGTCAGGGTCGTTCAGTGCTACGGCGGCTGCTGCGGTGGCAGCTGCGTTTGCAGGTACAGGGTCGCTGGCTGCTGCTAGAGCCAGGGCGGTGGGCGCCTCTCCTGCTGCCAGCCCTGGCGTGCTCCCTCCCGCTTCCAACCTTCCTCCCCCGCCTCCTCCTGCCGCTTCTGCTGCTGCTTCTTCTGCCGTTTCTGCTGCTGCGGCGGCGGCAGTTTCTGCTGTTGCTACTGTGGCTTCTGCTCCAGCTGCAGTTGCCCTCTCTCCTTCTGCCGGTGCCGGTCCATCTGAAGCTACTACCTCATCTGCTCCTGATGCTTCACAGCCTGTCACCTCTGATATGCCCTCCACTGAATCCTCTCTTTCCGCCACCTCTCACGCTTCCCTCTCTCGCCCCGCCCGCCCCTCTGGCCCGCGCCTTGTTGGGTTTGCCGACCTCTCTCCCTCTCTCTTTTCAACCGCCACTGCACATTCCCCTGACACACACGCCACCACCACCGGTGATGCTGCTGCTGCAGTCACCACGGATAGCAGCACAGGCAGCACCACTACCACTGGTGTTAGCACTGCCAGCAGTGCCGCTACCGCCGCTGGTGCTGCTGGTGGCACTGCTGCCGCTAGTGGTAACCAGCATGGGAAGCCAACAGGTGGCAAGTCAATGCGCGCCGCCCTGCTAGAGCAGATGGGGGCGAGCGAGCTGGCTGACGAGCTGGCTGCCGCCCGGGCAGCGGCTGCTGCCGCCACTGCGCAGGCCGCCCGGGCGGCATTGGCTGGTTCTAGCAGTCCAGGCGGGGGAGCGCGTGGGGGGAGTGGGGGGATGAGTGGCATGCTGAGCTGGCTTACTGGTGGGCTGACCGGTCAGGCTGCTCCTTCTGCTGCTGCTGCCTCTGCCACTGCTGCAGCTGCTGCCGCTTCTGGTTCAGAGGTGAAGGAGGTACCGAGACAGCTAGGTGTTGTGGTTCGGAAGCCGTTTGGTATAGTTCTGACGGGCGAGGAGAGGGCAGCAGAGGGAGGCGAACGGGCGAGTCCCAACGGCAGTTTCAGCAGCCCCAGGGGGGGTCGAGCCGGGGGCAGCGGATTCAGCAGCCCAAGAAGCAGCGGCAAGACAGGGGCGGGTCCGAGCCCTTTGAGTCCCCGGCCTGGCAGGGACTCTCCGCAAGACAGACAGAGTAAGGCACAGCTGCAGGGACAAAAACACAGGCAGCAGGCGCAGCAGGGGCAGCACCAGGGGCAGCATGAGCAACAGCAGCAGCAGGGGCAGTTAGGGCAGCAGCAGCATGGGTGGCAGGAGGTGTGGCGGCACCAGGCAGCGTTCATCCATGTGTTGCTACAGCTGGCACAGCGGGCTGTGGAGCGCAGTGAAGACGCTGCTGCCGCCGCCGAGGCTGTTCTCTCTGCAACGGCACGAGCTGAGGCTGAGATGCGCGAGTGGGAGGTGGAGCGGCATCTCTCGTCTGTATTCGGCGAGATTCGGCTGTTTATGCGGCAGCAGGGGGTGGAGCCGGTGAGGCGGCAGGGGGCGGGAGGGGGAGGGAAGGGCGTGGGGGGGGAGGGAGGTGGGACTGGGGGAGGTGGTATGTCTACCACCACAGGGCACACGCCTAGAGACCTGGCGCAGGTTCGGGACGATCTGAAGGTTTTGGTTGGGGCGGTGGAGGCTCGGGCACGGGCAGCTGCGGTGAAAGAGATAGGGGTGGGGGGTGTGAAGGAACGGCCGAGCCTGGTCGTGGGTGCTGCTGGTGACAGTGCTGCCTCTGATTCAGCTGCTGCTGCTGCTGCTGCTGCTGCTGGCCGTGCTGCTGCTGCTGGCGGTGGTGCTGGAGGTGCTGCTGGTGGTGGTGCTGGCGGTGGTGCTGGTGGTGAAAAGGAACCAGCTCAGAAGCGGGTTTCTGAGGCTAAGGCGGCGCACTCCCATGTACCAGCTGCACCTGAAGCAGCAGCAGCCGCAGCAGCAGCAAAGTCCCCCAACCCGTCGATCCCTACAGAAGCAGGCGCACCAGTCTCTGACTCCACCTCTGAGGCGCCTCAGGAATCGGAACCAGGTGCAGCAGCTGGCCCTGGGAGCAAGTCAAGCAGTGAGATTCGAGAGGATGAAGGGTTAGAGGACGAAGACCCGTCCACCTTCCTCACAGTGCCACTTACTCCCATGCGCTCGCCCATCATCCGAGTCACCCGCAGCTCCTCCCTCCTCTCCCCCTCCCCCTTCTCCTCCTTCTCCCACCCGTCTCCTTACTCCTCCCTCTCCAACTCCTCCCCCTACTCGTCTCTCACCCAATCTTCCCCTTTTACCTCCAACCTGCCTCCATTTGCTCGCTCCTCCTCCACCGCCGCTCCCTCCCACAAGCCTGCGCTCTCACACTCCTCCTCCCTCGCCTCCCCCGCCCCCAGCCTCTCCCCTGCTGCTCTTGCCCCTCACAAAGCCGGCGCCGCGGCAACTGGTGCTGCTGCAGAGAGGGAGGGGGAGGGGGAGGAGGGGAAGGAGGCGGATGGGGTGACAGTAGTGGCTGCTCCGTTTGACCTGCCTGAGCTGGTGATGGTGGAAGAGGGAGAGGGGGCAGGAGCGGTGGAGGGAGTGGGAAAGGAAGAGGGAGAACGAGAGGGTGAGGAGGGGGGGATGGGAGACAGCAAGCTCAGGGCGGGGCAAAAGGATGGATCAACAACAGAGGCAGCAGGAGAAGCAGCAGGAGAAGCAGCAGCTGAATCGGAAGGGGAAGTAACAGGAGAGGCAGCATCGGCGGAAGAAAAGTCAGCAGGAGGGGCAGCGAGTGGGGTGGGTGCGGAGGGGAGCAAGGAGGTGAAGGCAGAGAGTGGTGTAGAGTCAAACGCTTCAGCAGCACAGCTTGGTCCATCAAGCGTGGCCTTATCAGTCAGTGAAACGCCTGCCAGTGCAGCATCCAGTGTGGCAGTGCTGCCGCCTAAAAGCCCCATTGCTCACGGCCCACCGCCGGGTGAGGCTCAAGCCATGCTACCAGCTGCAGCTGCTGGTCAGAGCTCCTTTCCCAAATCGCTCTCTGCTAGTGAGCAGCAGCAACAACGACAACAGCAGGAGCAGGAGCAGCAGGAGCGGCAGGAGCGGCGTAAGCAGGTGCAGCAGCTGCAGCAGCAGCAGGCAGCGTTAGAGCACCAGGTGACGCTCCTGCAGCGGCAGGAGCAGGCGTTGCTGCAGCAAGCAGAGGAGGTAGCAGAGGAGGCGGCACAGGAGGCGAGGCGGGTGGGCGTGCAGCAGCAGGTGGTGCTAGATGTGGAAGGACAGGTGGCTGCTATCCGCGACACCATGGTGTTTCTCTTGAGAGACTTGCAGGAACGTGGGGATGGGAGGGGAGCAGGGGAGGGAGGAGAGGCGGGAGGGGAGGGAGGAGGAGAGGGAGGAGAGGCGGGGTTGCTGGAGCAGGCTGTGGAAGATGGCGAGCAGCGACTGATGGAGGCACAGCAGGTAAGACTGTTTTTCTAGGCTCTTTAAATAAAGCGACAGGTGGAGGCACAACAGGTAAGACTGTCTTTTTATGCGCTTCAAAAGCGAGTGGTGGAGGCACAGCAGGTAGAACTCCACGCGTGGCGTGATCCTGTGATGCCCGTCCGTCCATCTCATCTTTGTTTGCCAAGACATCAAGTGTCGTAAAGAGCACAGCCTGCTCCTCGATGTGTTATCCCATGACCCACCCCTCATGTTTAGCAAGAAGTGCCTCTCCCATGCACCTGTTTAGCAAGAAGTGCCTCTCCCATGCACCTGTTTAGCAAGAAGTGCCTCTCCCATGCACCTGTTTAGCAAGAAGTGCCTCTCCCATGCACCTGTTTAGCAAGAAGTGCCTCTCCCATGCACCTGTTTAGCAAGAAGTGCCTCTCCCATGCACCTGTTTAGCAAGAAGTGCCTCTCCCATGCACCTGTTTAGCAAGAAGTGCCTCTCCCATGCACCTGTTTAGCAAGAAGTGCCTCTCCCATGCACCTGTTTAGCAAGAAGTGCCTCTCCCATGCACCTGTTTAGCAAGAAGTGCCTCTCCCATGCACCTGTTTAGCAAGAAGTGCCTCTCCCATGCACCTGTTTAGCAAGAAGTGCCTCTCCCATGCACCTGTTTAGCAAGAAGTGCCTCTCCCATGCACCTGTTTAGCAAGAAGTGCCTCTCCCATGCACCTGTTTAGCAAGAAGTGCCTCTCCCATGCACCTGTTTAGCAAGAAGTGCCTCTCCCATGCACCTGTTTAGCAAGAAGTGCCTCTCCCATGCACCTGTTTAGCAAGAAGTGCCTCTCCCATGCACCTGTTTAGCAAGAAGTGCCTCTCCCATGCACCTGTTTAGCAAGAAGTGCCTCTCCCATGCACCTGTTTAGCAAGAAGTGCCTCTCCCATGCACCTGTTTAGCAAGAAGTGCCTCTCCCATGCACCTGTTTAGCAAGAAGTGCCTCTCCCATGCACCTGTTTAGCAAGAAGTGCCTCTCCCATGCACCTGTTTAGCAAGAAGTGCCTCTCCCATGCACCTGTTTAGCAAGAAGTGCCTCTCCCATGCACCTGTTTAGCAAGAAGTGCCTCTCCCATGCACCTGTTTAGCAAGAAGTGCCTCTCCCATGCACCTGTTTAGCAAGAAGTGCCTCTCCCATGCACCTGTTTAGCAAGAAGTGCCTCTCCCATGCACCTGTTTAGCAAGAAGTGCCTCTCCCATGCACCTGTTTAGCAAGAAGTGCCTCTCCCATGCACCTGTTTAGCAAGAAGTGCCTCTCCCATGCACCTGTTTAGCAAGAAGTGCCTCTCCCATGCACCTGTTTAGCAAGAAGTGCCTCTCCCATGCACCTGTTTAGCAAGAAGTGCCTCTCCCATGCACCTGTTTAGCAAGAAGTGCCTCTCCCATGCACCTGTTTAGCAAGAAGTGCCTCTCCCATGCACCTGTTTAGCAAGAAGTGCCTCTCCCATGCACCTGTTTAGCAAGAAGTGCCTCTCCCATGCACCTGTTTAGCAAGAAGTGCCTCTCCCATGCACCTGTTTAGCAAGAAGTGCCTCTCCCATGCACCTGTTTAGCAAGAAGTGCCTCTCCCATGCACCTGTTTAGCAAGAAGTGCCTCTCCCATGCACCTGTTTAGCAAGAAGTGCCTCTCCCATGCACCTGTTTAGCAAGAAGTGCCTCTCCCATGCACCTGTTTAGCAAGAAGTGCCTCTCCCATGCACCTGTTTAGCAAGAAGTGCCTCTCCCATGCACCTGTTTAGCAAGAAGTGCCTCTCCCATGCACCTGTTTAGCAAGAAGTGCCTCTCCCATGCACCTGTTTAGCAAGAAGTGCCTCTCCCATGCACCTGTTTAGCAAGAAGTGCCTCTCCCATGCACCTGTTTAGCAAGAAGTGCCTCTCCCATGCACCTGTTTAGCAAGAAGTGCCTCTCCCATGCACCTGTTTAGCAAGAAGTGCCTCTCCCATGCACCTGTTTAGCAAGAAGTGCCTCTCCCATGCACCTGTTTAGCAAGAAGTGCCTCTCCCATGCACCTGTTTAGCAAGAAGTGCCTCTCCCATGCACCTGTTTAGCAAGAAGTGCCTCTCCCATGCACCTGTTTAGCATGAAGTGCCTCTCCCATGCACCTGTTTAGCAAGAAGTGCCTCTCCCATGCACCTGTTTAGCAAGAAGTGCCTCTCCCATGCACCTGTTTAGCAAGAAGTGCCTCTCCCATGCACCTGTTTAGCAAGAAGTGCCTCTCCCATGCACCTGTTTAGCAAGAAGTGCCTCTCCCGTGCACCTGTTCCCCCACCCACCCCCCCTGCTGCCTTCCCCTTTGCCCAGGTTCTCAGTGGATACAGGCAGCGGCTGCAGGAGAGGGAGCGGCAGCACCACCGCCTGCAGCAGCGCCTGCGAGTCAACCGTCGCCAGCTGGCAGTCGCCCGATCTGCCGCCGAAGCTGCCGCCGCAGCTACTGCCGAGGCTGCTGCCGAGGCTGCTGCCGAGCCAGTGGTGGGTGTGAAGGAGGGGGAGGAGGGGAAGGATAGGGCGGTGAGAGTGGCGGCTGCTAGGAGCAGCAGTGGGAGTGGCAGTGGATGGTGGGGGATGGGTCCCTCTGGCGGCCCTGCTGCTGCTGCCGTTGCTGCCGTTGATAGCGCAGATGACACTGCTGCTGCTCCTTCTGTTGCTGTTGCTGCTGCTCCTGCTGCTGCCAAACCGCATGTTACCGGGCTGAGTGTTTGGCCGGCACATGAGCCAGATTTGTCAGCAGCAGCAGGAGTAGGAGCAGAAGCAGGAGGAGCAGCAGGTGCGGGAGCAGGAGGGGGAGCAGCAGGGGGCATGCTGTCATGGCTACCCATGACTCCTCGTGCGTTTGTGATGGCCGCTGCTGGCCTCCCAGACTCCCTCCGGCCCCGCACCCCACCCATTGCCCATGCTGACACGTCTCAGGCTCAGCTGAGGCCCCGCACCCCACCCGTTGTTGCTTCTGAGACGTCTCAGCAGTCCCTCAGGCCGCGCACACCACCCATTGGTGCGCATGCCCCACAGCACAGGCAGCAGCAGCAGCAGCAGCAGCAGCAGCGCCGATCGCAGGCCCTGCGGCCCCCTACAACCCCTGTGGGAAGCAGCGCCACCTCTGGTCGCCCTGTTACTGGTGCTTTTGATGCTGATGCTAGCACTCCTGCTGCTGGCCCTGCACCTCCCACTCCTGAGGCGCCTCAGAAATACGATGCAGCAGCTGCTGCTGTCACCCATGCCGCTGCCCCTGCTGTTTCCCCCGCATCTGCTCCTGCTGCTGCCCCTGCCTCTGTCTCCGCTTCTTCTGCTGCTGCCCCTGATTCTGCCCTTGCTGCTGCCCCTGCTTCTGTCCCTAATCCTGCCACTGCTTCTGCCCCTGATTCTGCCCCTGCTTCTGCGCCTGCTTCTGCCCCTTCGGCTGGTTATGAGTTGACTCAAAACCTAGCCTCTGACGCGACTACCCTTGCTTCTGCCCCTGTTCCTGCTCCATCTGCCTCGTGCTCTCCTGCTCACGAGCCTGCTGACTTTGTGCTCCCTCCTCCCAGCGCTGCTCCTACCGTGCCCACCGCACCCACTGCAACACCCACTGGCCCCACTGCACACACTGCAGCACCCACTGCAGCACCCACTGCAGCACCCACTGCTGCCGCTGCTGCTGCTGCTGCTGCTCTCACTACCACTATTTCCGCTGCAGCACAGGCGGCAGGCATCAGGGAGAGGGACACGGGGCAAGCCCAAGGGCGGGCCTTGCATGGCAAGGGCAGGGCTAGTGGCAGGCGGCTGTGGGATGACAGTGATGCCATCGCCACCGCTCCCATCGCACTCGAGACCCAATCCGCTCCCTCTCCTGCTTCAGTTGCCGCTACAGTTGCTGCTACACCTGCTGCTACAGCTGCTGCTACTCTTGTTGCCGCACCTGCTGCTAAAGTTGCAACCCCTGCTGTGACGCCCGCTGCTACTGAGCCTGCTGCTGCTCCTGGTGCTGGTGGGAGTGAGAGAAGTGCAGCTGCTCCTGACCCTGCTGTTCCTGCTGCTACTGCTACTGCTGCTGCTGGTAACGCACCCGAGGGTGGGACAGCTGCATGTTCGGCGGCTGCGGGTTCTGCAGCTGCAGGTGTGGCAGGCCCGAGCGCTGTGATAGGCCCAAGTGGAGCACCAATTCCTACTCCTAGGGGTTCCATGGTGGACGGGCGGCAGAGAGGGCGGCGACTACAGGACGATGAATTCGGCATGTCCCTTTCCGCCCCTGTGGTTTCTGCGCCTACTTTCGTTGATGCTGCTGACCGCCGTGCAGCTCCCAGCCCTTCTTTTGCCGGGATGGGCTCTAGAAGCAGGCGATTGGCTGATGACGGGTTTGGTAGCTTGTTCTCACCCTCTGCTGCTGTTGCTGCTACTTCTCCTGCTGCTGCTGCTGCTTCTCCTGCTGCTGCATCTCCTGCTGGTGCTGGTGGTGCTGCGGCTGTTAGCCCGCTTGCGGGGCTGGGCTCGAGAAGCAGGCGATTGGTTGATGAAGGGTTTGGCAGTTTGATATCTCCTGCTGCTGGTGATGCTGCTGCTGCAGCGGCACCTTCCCTGGTTGGGCCTGGGTCTAGGAGTAGGCGATTGGTTGATGACGGGTTTGGCAGTATGATATCTCCTGCTGCTGGTGACGCTGTTGCAGCAGCAACACCTTCCCTGGTTGGGCCTGGCTCGAGAAGCAGGCGATTGGTTGATGACGGGTTTGGCAGTTTGATCTCTCCTGCTGCTGGTGATGCTGCTGCAGCAGCAGCGGGACCTGGGGTTGGGTCGAGGAGCAGGCGGTTGGCCGATGATGGGCATGGGAGCAGGCGATTGGGTGATGATGGGCATGGGAGCAGGCGATTGGCCGATGATGGGCGTGGAGGCAGAAAATCATTTGATGGTGGAGTCGGGAGCTCTAGCGGCAAGCGAATGTGGTGGGGAGGAGTTGAGGTGAGAACAAGATGCAGGTAACTCGTTGCCCTTCTAGGATTGGCTGGTGCGCTGTCCATCATGTTTTCGCT